GCTCCGGTATCACCCCCCCTCCTGGACGCCTGGGTCCAGACTGAGTCCCACAGGGGCCCTGTCAGCCAGCTGTCCTTGGGGACCCCGGTTGTGCCCCAACCCCTCTGAGCTGCTCTCCCTGGGGAAATCAGAGAGTGCAGGAGACCTGATAGGGGGAGTGTTGGAGTGGTGGTCCCAGCAGAGGAGGAGGTATTTTTCTTTTTCTTTTTTAATTCTCACCTGAGGATATTTTCCCATTTATCTTCAGATACAGTGGGAGGTGGAGGGGGAGAGAAACATCAATGTGAGAGAGACACATCTATTGGTTGTCTCCCATACTACCCGACTCTTTCTAACCGCTAAGCCACGCCGGCCAGGGCGAGAGGAGGTATTTTTCTGTCCAGGTCCAAACCTCAGACTGGGCTTCAAAGCCCTTGGAGATCAGGTCCATAACAACAGAAAGACCCAGTGACCTCATCTCTCCTCCAATCTCTGTAGCCATCCAAGTCTCAAAGACTATTTTGCTCACACATTTACTCCTATTTGTCCATTTTAACTGGGTCATGCAGACTAGTTTCTGTGTCCTGCTGAGGGCAGAGATCAAGTTTGATATTTCTTTTGTGTATCCTGCAGAATTTTCCCCAATACATTCTCATTGATTGAAATTAATGAGTTGAATGTGTTCCAGCAACAGAGAGAAAACTGGCTAAACCCTCAGCAGGAAGGATGATGTTTAGATAACAAGGTGGAGGGCATAAAGGAGGGGTATTTAAAAAAAGAAAATAGAAGCCCCATAAAGCATAGGAGAAGAGGCCCACCTGACTAGGACAGATGGCATCCTGAGAAGAGTAGGGAGATGGGCGAGATAACCTCTATAAGGGCCAGCCAGCTAGATAAGGCAGCCTTGGTGGATGTCTCCCTCCCTCCCTAGGGGCTTTGAGAATAGGACAGGGAGGGGCAGGTGTTAGGTGTGTGCTCCCTTCCCTTGGGACTTGGTGAGTAGACAGTGATAACAGGTGACCAGGTTTTCTCTGAAAAGACATAGATCCACACACAAACAACACTCTCAATCATCCACCCAACTCCTGTCCTCCAGCTTCCACATGAACCCTGGGCTACCCACTCCCTGGGTCACCTTTCCTGCCCTGCAGCCAGGCCTGTCTATACATGTGCATGCACGTGTGTACACACATATACAATTGTACATGAACACACACTACATATACAGCCAACTCAAGAACTCCACAGGGTCCTTTGTTCCTTAGGCCTGAGGCCAGGAACGTGTGTGTGTGTGTGTGTGTGTGTTAGAGACAGAATTCACCTTCATTCCAGTGCTTAACAGAATTATTTTAGGAACTATCTGCTCTTTGTTTGGGATGATCTTATTTCTGGAAGTCTAGATCTAGAACTGACTTCAAGTGACTCACGGTGGGTCAGGATCTCCTCCAGCGCATGGCACATCCTAAGAGTTCAAGAGGAAGTAGTTAGCCGAATAAATGAATTAAAATTAATTAATGAAGACCACAGTCTAGCCAAAGTCAACTGCAAGGGGAGAACAACTAGGGCCAGGAAACTAACATTGATCGAACACCTAAGAAGAGCCAGGTTCTGTGCAAAGAATTTGGCTTATTTCCATTTTACAGATGAGAACATTGAGGTTCAGTAGTAAAAAAATGCTCAAGGGGCAGAACTAAAAGGCAGCAATTTGGCTCCAGAGGCCTGCTCCTTCCTCTTACAAATATGCAATTACACTCAATACACCCTTACTGAGCTTCTGCTGGGCACTGAGGGGCCAGGGTGGGGGACAATGACAAAGATAAGAGACACAGTCCTATTCTCCAAGGTCCTGAAGGGGAGAGAGATGCTACCTGCACACCTTTCTGGTAATAAGGCAAAGAATGAAGGTGGGTTGGGGTGGACAAAGCCATCTATTTCCAAGCAAAATTGTTTAAGTAAGGCCTTGGGTCCTTATCGTCATAATTCTAGATTGCGCAGGCAGGGGGAGAGAGGAAAAGGAGAGCCTTGGAGAAACCTAGCTTGGCCAACACAAGTGTCAGTGGAGGAGGGTAGTCCCCTGAACAAAGGAGGCCACCAGCCTCTGGGAGTAAGGAAAGGACTCATTAAAACTCCACCCTAGAACTTGGCTCCTCAAGGTGCCCACCCTCGAGCTCCTCTGCTGTGTGGACACCCTGGTGGTCCCCAGGGTAGATGGACATGCCCCATACCATCTGCAGGCACAAGCTCCTATGCGTACACCTGTGCCACAGACCTAACTGCACTCACACATCCTGTCCTCCAGGGGCTGGGTTCACAGTTGCCTCTCCCACCTTGGATATCTGTCTGGAGTCTCGGCAGGACACCCCGGGGTGGACATATCCAGCATTAATGTACCCAGGGAGTGATTTGTCCTTGTTGTACCAGGGAGGTGGGTTCAGCAGGAACCACTGCCTCCCCTACCCCACCCCTTTGTCTACCCTTTCCCATCGAGCAGCTGTCCCCCTCCTCACTCATACACACAAGTTTCTGTCCTTTGTTTTCCATCCTGGCCAAATCCCCAAGGCTTCTTTGGTCATTAACCTCCAGCTTTAATTAGCTTAGTGGGGAGGAAAGTGGAAGCAGGGCCAAATCAGCAATGGGTATCTAGGGGAAATCTCATTTGGGTGGGGACGGGGACAGGAAGGCTCAGACCAGCTGGTGACAAAAATGCCTGGCACACAATAAGTCCTGTGCAACTGTTTGCTATTCTATTAACGTGAAAAACAGTCACCTGGTCCAGTAGGAATCTTCCCCTCCCAATGAAAGCCCCACGGTCCCTAGAACCACAGCTCTCCCAATCCAGCGTCCTAGGGCAGAAAGAGAGGGGACAAGAGTAGAGAACAGCCAACTCCCACAGAGCTTTGTCTCTGCATTTCTCTCACTCTTGCTCGGAGGCAGTGACACCCAATCTCACAATGTTTATTGTTAATTTTATGTTAAATCCCCAACCCAGGGGCTCCTCAGTTATGGCTCCCCTTCCCTGAATCTTCAGCCTAGCAAAAGAGCAAGAGCCCCACAGAGTGCCAATCCCTAACCCCTCCTGAGATCCAGGGCTCTGGCTCCCACCCTCCATTGGTGTGCAAATTTACTCTTTCCAAGAATCAATTTAGGGAACTGGGTTTGGCAGCTCAGCCCTCCCTCACGGCTTCACAGTGCCAGGTCTATGAAGTCATCTCATCTGTCCCCCTGCCTCCAGCAGGACTTTACCTCAGAAACTAGTTGAGACTTTTGGTTTCCAAGGTGTTGCAGAAAAGGACACCTTACTACCGTAGCTCACTCACCCATTCTTATAAAACTCTCTTGGGGAGTTCTACTTAAAGTCTGACCTCAAGCCTACATGCTGCAGTGCCATCCTTTTCCCTCTTAAGAAAGACCCGGATATAAAAAGAGTGACAAAAGAAATGCTGAAGACATAGGCTAAGGGGAAAAGAAACAATTGCATTATGCTTCAACTTCCCCAAACTTCCTCTAAAGGTCCCCAAGTGCCCAATTCATGCCTTAAAAATTTATTTTTACTTTCACCAAATTTCCCGAGTCAAAGAAACTGAATGAGTGAGTTTTCAGTGCAGGAGAGGTGGGTGGAATGATAGTAGAGGGTAACGAACAGATCGCTTCCGAGCTGTATGCATGACCCAGGCCTGAGGGAAGTCTGGGGTCCCCAGTTGATCGCGCCTCTCCTCCCTCCTTCTCTGGCACCCAGAGCTCATGGCTTTCACCCGAAACTGTTGTCACTTCATGCCTTTAAGACTACCTCTGCCTCTCCACTCTCTGCCCCCACATCTCTCCTGTCCCTCCACCCCCTCCTCCTCCTCACCTCCTCACTCCAAAGCAACTCACCTCCCAATCCGTGCCTCTCAGATCTCCGAGACTGGGGGGCTGTTGGATATGAAGGGGACATGGCTTGCCGCTTGGGTATGAGCGGATCCTGTCTTTTGTCTGGGGGTCCCACACTCCAGCTCGGCACCCCATCCTGGCCCCCACTGCGTGCAGAGCCGGGTTCTCCCCGCATCGCGGCTGCGGGCTTTGTCTGCTCTGCGGAGAACCTCCCCGCGGCCCAGAGCTGGATCGACTCTGGAAGAGCGGGCGGGGGAGCGGAGAGCGCGGCAGGGAGGAGCAGAGGGGAGAGGGAAAGCCGCAGTGACCTAGCCGGGACCGCTCCCCGCCCTCTCGCCCCCCCGCCTCATTACCATGAGAAAGAGGGACCTGAGATCTGCCGGGACCGCGTGGGAGCCAGTCTTGGGAGGGGGGCGTGCTCCATTAGCCTTTTTCCAACCGTTTCGTTTCTGTACACTCACTCCTCTCTCCTTGCCCGCGAAAAATTAGGGACCCTCGACTTTCATCCCACACCCAGCTTTGCCTCCGAGCGGTGGGTAAAGACCGAAGGCACATCGCGATCCTCCTCGGGTCAAGGAATTCGTCCCAGCGCCCCCAAGGGCGGGAAACTACAACTCCCGGCATGCCCCCGGCGCCCCCGGCGCGCCCCCCTCCCGTCAGTTCCATGCTGCTCCATCCAGTTCATTTAAAACAAAAGAGTTTGAGCGCTGGAAGGGGCTGGGCTCTATTGGGGGCCACTGAGTGCTACTCCTGGACTGGGGCTCGGTGCGGGAGCCTAAGGGGGGCGTCTGGACGGCGGGGTCTAGAGACTCCGTGTCCGAGGAGGGAGGGGTAGGGGCAGAGATCCCGCAGACCCCCGTCCCCCCCGGAAAGGAGAGGAGATCTGCTTTCTTGGTTTTGTTTCTCTTTCCCCCCACCCCCACCCCGGGGGCTGGGGCGAGGGGAGTCGGGTTACAGGGTGTTTGGGGAGGGGGGCTTAGGGGGAGGGTCTATCTTTCTATCTCGCCGTCTTTCCCCCTCCCCAGTTCTTTGTTCCCCCCTCCCCACACACCCCCTCCTCTCCTCTCCCCTCCCCTCCTCTCTCCTCTTTTCCCTTCCACCACCTCTCTCTCTCTCTCTCCCTCTCTCTCTCCCCCAGCTTTTGTTTCGCCATGCCTAGTCTAGTGGTATCTGGAATAATGGAAAGAAATGGGGGCTTTGGAGAACTAGGATGTTTCGGGGGAAGCGCTAAGGACCGAGGGCTGCTGGAAGACGAGCGCGCCCTTCAGCTGGCTCTCGATCAACTCTGCCTCCTGGGTTTGGGGGAGCCCCCCGCCCCCACGGCGGGCGAGGACGGGGGAGGTGGGGGAGGAGGCGCCCCTGCACAGCCGGCCGCTCCCCCGCAGCCGGCCCCGCCGCCGCCGCCCGCGGCGCCCCCGGCCGCCCCGACGGCGGCCCCTGCGGCGCAGACGCCTCAGCCCCCCACCGCCCCCAAAGGGGCCAGCGACGCCAAGCTCTGCGCTCTCTACAAAGAGGCCGAGCTGCGCCTGAAGGGCAGCAGCAACACCACCGAGTGTGTACCCGTGCCCACCTCCGAGCACGTGGCCGAGATCGTGGGCAGGCAAGGTAAGCGGGCGCCCGGATCGCGGAGAGACACTGGATGGGGGGCACCCCATCCCTAGCGCGGAAAGTTCATTTACTCTCTCGTCCACCTCTGGCTCTGTCCCTTGTCCACAAAGGGGACCCTCCCCCTACCTCGATTTCCAAGTGCCACAAAGTTCTCTGCTACCCCCAGTCGGGACTGTTCTCCAGATCCTTCCTCCCCCGGGGCCCTGCCCTCAGACAAAGAAATATCCTCTCTTAGAGAGAGGGAAAAGGGAGGGAGATTGGTTTCCCAATCTAGAGAGGCTGTCTGTGCTGAGGGGGTGTCCACTCAAAGCCAGAAAAACTGGCAGAATGTGCAAAGAGTTACTCAGAAGCCCCTACTTTGGTATATGCTACTGGATTGGGGAGGGGGTACCCCTGGGACCCCCAGCCACCTGGAGTTACAGACTTTGGGGGAGACCTGGCCTGGGGAGCCAGTCTGAGTATCTGTCTCTTTGTTGGGCTGAGTGTTGGAATGGAAGGGGGTGTGGCTCATGGGAGGGTCCCAACCTGGGGGAGAGATGGGGAGGGGGCTCCTGGGAGGAGGGAAGCCTGTGGTCACCCACACACCAAAGTTGAACAGTCTGTGGGATTTTGGAAGGGGCGCCTCCAAGGAAGTGCCACATCCTAGTGTGGACCTCTCCTCCTCCCTCTCAGGCTTTTGTTCTGGGCTGGCCAAGGCCAGGGGCCAGAGGCCTGGATAGGGGTCTCTAGTAGTAAGAGAGTAGGACAGGGTGGGAGAGGACATGCTGGGGGTGGGGGGCCAGTGAGAAACCTTCACCTGGAGATTCTGTGCAGGGCGTGTGTCTGGGTGCGTTGGGGGAGGGATGTAGAATTAATACTGTGTAGTCTGTCTGATACCACACCCTCCTCCACTCCAGCATCCCTGGATGGGTGGGGGTCAGAGTGTTGGTGACTGTCCAGACTGAGCAGACGGGTACGGACCCTTCCTTCTCCTGGTTTCCCAAAGGGGAGTGGGGGGGGCGGGATTTGAAAATTGCAAGGCTTGGCTGGGGAGATGGGGGTGGGGAAGGAGCAGGGGAGGAGCTGTCCCACAGTAGGGAACAATAGAGGAGCTGCATTCCGGCTGGGGAGTGAGGGAGGAGGCTGGCTGCTGGCTGGGGAAGAGGGGAAGCCAAGCCAGGGGGCCCTACTCCCCATCCCACCTCATCCCCCTGTAGTGCTTGGGGTTGGGGAGATTTTGCTGGGGGATCCAGAATGGAGGGGAAGATGCCATTGGCCTACACAACCCTCATTCCCACCCCTCACCCCACTCCATCTCTTGAGGTTTCTGATTTTAAAAGTTGGATATCCTCTTACCAGAAACTAGGGACCCAGAGCCTGGAATTGGGTGGGGACACCAATATCTTTTCTTGTGTGTGTGGGTGGTCTTGGGAGGCCTCGGAATTTCATGGAGTCATTCTTTCCTTTCTGCCTCCGCATCAGATGGAGCTGTCTCTCATAAAAGTAGGGGGGATATCTCTCTTTCCTCTCATTCCTTAAGTATATGGAAGTCCTCTCTCTTATCTAACCTCCCCTGCTGCTGCAGTGTCAGTGCTCCTATATTTGACCTCTAGGAAGGTGATGCACAGTGGGTCTTCCCTTCAAGAGATGTTTCTTTAGGCTTGCAAAACCTGGGGTCATTTCCACCACCAGTTCTGCACCTCCAGGCTGCTAGCTTTTCTCTTACTCTTATGCCCTGGCCTGTTCTCCTTACCCTACTCCCAGCCCCCGAAGGTACTTAGCTCTCACTTAAGTTTATGGACCTAAAATGTAGAGCCAGAACCCAGGTGCCTATCAGACACCATGTGAGCAGAAGTTGTATGAGAAGGATGTCACTGTTCCTCCACATTCCATGCCCTACACATAGAGCAATCACTTACTGGCATTAAAGCAGCAAGGACGTGAGCTTGACAACAGGTAGGACTTCTCAGTTGCCGAGAGATCTGAAGTAAAAAAGAGAGGGGCAAATTCTCCTTTCTAAGGTCTCTTGAAGGTAAGAAGAGCTGCCCCCAACTCACTCTATCTTCCCCATATACCAATCTGCTAGGGTTGGAGAAGCCATATGGAGGAAGGAGACTAATAATAAGAATAAGCTCACCTCAGGTCAGTGGATGGAGAGGTGGAGCAGAGTCAGGAAACTGGAACTACTCCTTTTGGTTTGGGGCGGGGGTTATGTAGTGTGGTGGGGGAGTGAGAAAGGGAATGGTGAGTGTATGCCTGAAGAGGGGTGTGAATGTATCTATATGTGAATGGGGTGAAAGTTGTGGGCGTGCATAGGAATGTGCTGTTTGTGTGCTGGGGATGATAGGGATGGAAGAGTGGGATGGAGGAAAGGTTGAGACAGGGAATCCCTGTGAGTGAGAGAGGTGTATGAAAGTGCCCCTCGAGTATTGTTTAGAGAAAGGCACAGTGCATCAGGGCTCTCAGGGCCCTGTGTGTGCAAACTCACACACATGTGGCATGTGTGCTTCGAGAAAGGATGTGAGTTTCTGTGAAGCTCAGGGCAGCGAGAAGGAGTGCGGGAAGGAGAGAGAGCCTTGTCCAGCTAGCCATTGAGGTCTACAAGCCGTGTTGCCGTCCCACCCTCCCTCACTCTTCTCTTTCCTTTTCTCCCTCTTTGTTTCTTTGTCTCAGCTTTCTTCTTTCTCTTCCTGCCTCTCTCCCCAACCTCCCAGCTTTAACCCACTGCTACTTCAAAGTGGGAATACAGGTCCAAAATACCTTCTCCCTCACCCTGCTCAGCACCCAGTCCATCTCAGTTCTTCTCCCAGGGGACAGGGTGGCAGGAGTGTCCATGGGGTCCAGTGCTGTCCCTCACTTGTCTTTATTTTTATCTTTGAACTCCTCTTTTCCCTCTTAAAGCTGACTCTCAGACCCTTCCCAGTCTCCTACACTCCACTAGTTGCTGCATCCTTGCTATGAATTGGAGACACTGAGAGATACTAATGGGTGAAAGGCATGGGGGGAGGGGATCGGAGAACAGATGGGGAGTTGGTGTTCCCTGAGTAGGTTGGAGGATACTTTTAATGAAGTCAAATAAGGAGTAAATTGTGGGGTTACTAAGTGTATTGGGGTTCTGTGGAAAGATCAGAGTCAGTGACAGATTGGGGGGGTGATTAAGTGATTTGGAGGTTTATGAGTAGCCAGGAATCAGTAGAGAAGTTGAGAAAATAGCACATGGTTGGGGAGGAAATAGTGTGTAGATTTGAGGTTAGTAGTTTGTCTGGGAGGGTCAGTGCTTATTTCAGGGTTTCAAGGAGTAAATGAATTTAAAGGGCTCCAAATGGAATTCAAGGGAAAGTTGTTACATTTTGGAAAATGTGCTTGATAGAGACTTTGGGTAGATGTGAGATGAATGGATTAAGTCAGGGTGGTTTTCGGGATGGGGTTCAAAGGGTAGATTGACAGGTTCCTGGGGGTGGGGTATCTGAATAAGGATCCGTAGCTTATTGGTCCCAGCACAGATCTGTCCAGTGAGTTTCTTTCTCTTTCCCCTTCCCTGTCTATCCCAGGCTGCAAGATTAAGGCTCTGAGGGCCAAGACCAACACCTACATCAAGACTCCGGTGAGGGGCGAGGAGCCAGTGTTCATGGTGACTGGGCGGCGGGAGGACGTGGCCACAGCCCGAAGGGAAATCATCTCAGCAGCTGAGCACTTCTCCATGATCCGAGCATCACGCAACAAGTCGGGTGCCGCTTTTGGCGTGGCGCCTGCCCTGCCTGGCCAGGTGACCATTCGCGTGCGGGTGCCCTACCGCGTGGTGGGGCTGGTGGTGGGCCCCAAGGGGGCAACCATCAAGCGCATCCAGCAGCAGACCAACACATACATTATCACGCCAAGCCGCGACCGCGACCCGGTGTTCGAGATTACGGGTGCCCCAGGCAACGTGGAGCGTGCACGCGAGGAGATCGAGACACACATCGCAGTGCGCACCGGCAAGATCCTCGAATACAACAATGAAAATGACTTCCTGGCAGGGAGCCCCGACGCCGCACTGGACAGCCGCTATTCCGAGGCTTGGCGGGTGCACCCGCCTGCCTGCAAACCCCTCTCCACCTTCCGGCAGAACAGCCTGGGCTGCATCGGCGAGTGCGCAGTGGACTCTGGCTTTGAGACCCCACGCCTGGGTGAGCAGGGTGGGGACTTTGGCTACAGCGGGTACCTGTTTCCTGGCTACGGTGTGGGCAAGCAGGATGTGTACTATGGGGTGGCAGAGACCAGCCCCCCGCTATGGGCGGGCCAGGAGAATGCCACGCCCTCCTCGGTGCTCTTCTCCTCTGCCTCCTCCTCCTCCTCCTCTTCTGCCAAGACACGTGCTGGTCCCCCAGGAGTGCACCGCTCTCCTGCCACCTCCTCGGAGCTGGCAGGACTCCCAAGACGCCCGCCTGGAGAGCCACTTCAGGGCTTCTCCAAACTTGGGGGGGGAGGCCTTCGGAGCCCCGGTGGCGGGCGGGATTGCATGGTGTGCTTCGAGAGTGAGGTGACTGCTGCCCTTGTGCCCTGTGGACACAACCTGTTCTGCATGGAGTGTGCAGTACGCATCTGTGAGAGGACGGACCCCGAGTGTCCTGTCTGCCACATCACAGCCACACAAGCCATCAGAATATTCTCCTAAGCCCCCTCCCCTGCCCTGTGCCTCCTGGGGCTACTCCCCAGGGGCCTGCCCCTGGAACTGTTTTCCACCAGAGCCTTTTGGAAATCAGTGATTTGAGGGGCAAGGTGATTAGAGATACTGGCTGGGGAGAAGAGAGGGGAGGTGATGGTGGCTGGAGGGTGGGCCACTTTTAGACCCTCTGGTCACCCTATCCTTGAAAGGTTGGGAGGGGGCCGGACCAGAAATTTTACTAGAGTTACAACTCTGATACCTCAACACACCCTTCAATCTGCAGCTAAAAGAAACTTTTGTTTTGCCAGAGGTGGCAGCTAAAGCATCCTGACCCCCTTTGTCCACCTCCCTTGTGTGTCACAGTATCCCTTCCTCTATGGAGGGGAGGGAAAGAGAGGGAGAATTGCCATTCATATAGAGGTGCTCTCTCCCATCCCAAATACTCTGGTCCTGACCTCTGACCTCCTGACATGACCCTTTGGACCCTCCACTGCCATATCCTGTTTGGGAATCTGTTCCTGGGTTTCCAACAGTGGGAAGGGTTTGGGGCCCTTTCAGAAGCCTGCATAGATTGGGGGTGGGGAGGATGTCAATCAATTAAGGGCTCAGACCTGTCCCCACAAAGCTGGGCTAGAGGAATCTGGAAGAGGTTCCCACTGCCCCCTTCAGCTTTTCCCTCCACTCTTCCATATTTCCTCTCTGTTCTCCTTTGCTCTTTCCTCGGCTTCTCTGTTTACTTCCTCTTGGTGGCTGTCACTCCTACCCTGTCTTGCTCTTTCTGTTTTTTCCCTTCTCTCCCCACCCTCCCACCCCTTCTAGCCCAGCTTTGGGGATACCATCCCCCTGGGGAGAAGTTGAGGAGAGGACATTTTGGTGGTCCCCCCCTAATTCCTCTTCTGGCATCTAGAGGCCCTCTTTCCCCACTCCTCCAAAGAAACACCTCAAATTCTTGATGGAATGTATCCCCATTCTCAGTGAAAATTTGAGGAGGGGACTAATACTGGGGTTCGGAAAGGGCCAACCCTCCACCTTTATCACCTTCGGGCATTACATTTAGGGAGCAGTTCCTGGACTGGATTTCATGGCAGTGGGAGGAGCAGAACCAGGTAGTGGGTTTGCTGTTTCAAGGAGCAGGAAAAGCTGCTCCTCTTCCCCTGCAGTACCCCACTCTCTGCGCCCCTCTCTGAACCTCACGCCAGCCCTTATTAGCGAGCAAATCATGAAGTCTCTGTCCTACCTATTGTGGTTGAGGAGAGAGGCCAGGTTTTCAGAGAGGGGTCAGTCCAGGGCTAAGCTGGATCGGGGTGTGGCTGTTCTGAATCATGTTACAGGCCTCACAGCCCCTTTGCTGCTTCCCTGCTGCTCACTTGGGGCTGCCACCAGCCTCCCACCCTCCTAGTTCCGCTGGCCGGGCCAGGAGAGGATGGGGGATTGGAGTCCCTGGGGGTCCCAGGAGATTCTTGTATATAGTGGGGTGGGACTATTGTAAGTGATCTCTGAGCACTTAAGCTCTGGAGTCCCATTCCTGGATGGAGAGAGGGTGCAGGGATGGGGGTACAGAGGAGTTTTCCTCCTCTCCTTCCTCCTGTTGTGAATTAACTCGCCTCTCCTCAGCCTTCCCCTCCAGACTACCAGCCAGGGAGGGGAGAGAAAGGAGGTCACAGCCAGGAAAACTGGCCTGTGACAACTTCCCTCCTTCCAGCCAATGTGAGCCATCCTGAGATGTCTGTACAATAGAAACCAAACCAAATGGGTTGCCCAGGGGAGGGGGGGTGGCGGAGATGGGATGTCTGTCTGTCGATCCCCCTCCCCCTCTCCACTCCTTACCCACAAAGGCAGAAGACTGTTACACTAGGGAGCTCGGAAAATTCAATCCCACCCTTACTAATTGAGCCAAACCTAGAAACAAACGCAGAACACAAATAGTGAGAGACAAAACAGGTGAGAAAGAGAGCGTGAGAGGGAGCGAGATAGGCGACCAACACAGAGAAAATAAAAATAGCAAAAAAAAAAAAAGCAGTTCTTTATAATTTAATATTCTATTTTAATAAAGGCATTTATTACCGTATAAATGTAGCAAAGAACCTGGGCTAATATGAAAAAAAAAGACTTTTTATTAGGTAATTTATTATATGAAAAGGATATTTTATTTTATGATAAAGTGATCCTTAAAAAAATAAAAAAAAACTTTAGAAGGTTTAGAATATATGTAGGGAGAGAAGAAAAAAATACATTTGTATTCAGAGTTAAATCTTAAAAAAGTGTTTTTAATATATGTTCAGGTTTACGTTCCTTTTTCACTTGCTTTGGGGGAGGAGGAGCATCCTGGGATGGATGGTGGCTAGGGGAACCTGGTCCCTCTGGGGCCCTGCAAGTGGATTGGATTTCATTCCATGGGCTCCCTTCTCCTCTCCCCCTCCCCCTCAGGGGAGCTGGCAGAGCCAAACAAAGAAAGGAATTAACAAGAAAGGAAGAAGCTGGAGGATTGAGGATCCTGGGGTGCCCCCCCTTCCCCTGCCCTGTCCCAGGGGCAAGAGAGGAGGGGAAGTCCAGAACTGAGGCCTAGTGGGCCTGCGGGACCCTCAGAGAGGTGTGAGATTTAAGAGAAATAGTTTTTGTTTTTGTTTTTAACCAAAAATGAGAGAAAGAAGAAAAAGAAACTGAGGGGTTTAAAAGAAAATACTACAAAATAATAATTATTAATAATAATTCAAATTTATTTCATATAATCCTAGAGAAAAAGAGAATTACTAGTTACTTAGTAGACTATTCAGATAGCTTAAAGTTTAGTAGCATTGTGGGCCCCTGGGTCCAGTAGAATGTATAAAAGTCGTAACAAAAGGAAAATAGAGGAGGGAAGTGGCTGAGTCACCCATCTTCAGATATCAGGGTGAAAACAGATTGCTAGTTAAGGTTGGGAGCTTCTAGTCTGCTGGGGTTGATTCTGAGAATCCTTGGATTTTTAACTTGTAGGACAAATGGATGAGGGGGCTCAGTTCCCGGGGTCTTTAAAAGGATGGACATTGATCATTTCCACCAGGTGGGGGCAGCAGAGGAGGGTGAGCACATTTGCCTGCACTACTGCTCTGCACGGGAGCACCTGGGGCCTGCCATCCTGGGCATCCCTCTGTCTCTGTTGGGTAGCCCTTACTCCAAAGTGATTGTGTCCATTCTCAGGGCTCTGAGTTAGGCTCCCAGGCCTAACTGAGGAAGTCCTTGGAGTGTAACCTCAAGTGGTACAGGTTGATCAAGAGCCTGGCAGGGCATTCCACAAACATGCATATGCACACACTTCAGGGGACCGAGGGGGTCCGTACCCCATCCCTGTTCCTACCCAATCTTCCACTTAGCTTTGGCAGCAGTGGGAGTGAGTCTCAACTGTTCTCCTTTAAAGCTGCACTGTGCTATATAGGTTTGCAAAGCGCTTTATTGTCTCATAGAAGTTAGATTCCAAGAAGGACTACCCACCCACTGGAGTGGAGTGGAGACACTGTCTTTGAAGTCCTGGGAAAAGGGGCTCACAGGGGTAGGGGGAGGGCAGCAGAGACTTTGGGTGACCCTGACTCTAACTCTGTCCCAGTCCACCTCCATCAGGAAGGGGTCATCCACTGTCTTCTAGCCTGGGGGCACATCACCCTCCCCACTGAAAATTGGGGAGCTTGGCTTTTGCATGTGAAAAATCAATTTTTGAAGCACTTGCCTTCTACCAACCCCAGCTTGCAACCAGGCCAGGCCCCTTCCTCCAGGCTGTCCGAAGGGCTGTATCCCTTGGTGCTCCTTTTGGCAAGAAGAGCCTGCTCTGTTACACCAATGACTCTCATGCGCCTTCTTGGCCCTAGACCCCAAACACATCTCCCTCCCCAATTTTACTCTCCTCGCCCTACCTAGGGACAGATTACCCCCTGCTCTTTTTGTCCTAGAAACCCCCATAGTTTGGGAAGGTAGTGTCTGAAGTGGAGAAGGCTCTTCTCCACCCAAGGGTGCGGGTAGGGTAGGGTGGGTGGGTGGAGACAGCCCTGGGGCAGGGGGGATGGTCTCTCCACTGTAGAAAGTAGAGTAGGATTGTGGTCAGACTTAATTTGAGGCATCTAGTGAGGACACATACAAATCCACCAAGGAAAAATAGTTCAAAAGCGAAATAAAAGGCGGGAAACAAAACGGACCCATGAATAATCGAGTCAAAATGATGTTGCACAAAATGCAGAGAAACCAAGAAGGGGGAGGGTTAATGTATTAAATGTGCTATTAAGAAGTTAATTTTATTAAAAGTATTATTACTTAAGGCTCTGGCTTCTTTCTTTGTGTGTGGGTCTGAACCACCTTGGGTGAGTGAGGGACCACTTTGGGCTTTGTAGCTGGAGCTTTTCTCTAGTGTAATTCTGGGTGCCCCTTCCTGCTCACCTTTGGAAAGTGGATGGCTCCTATTTGCTCTCTACAGCTCCCAACTCCAGTCCCCAAGCGCTCAATCCTCTCTTTTCTACCCATTTTACCCCTTCTATTCCTTAGGCGTGCAGTCAGACCGTCCACTCTGCCCGGCAGAACAGAGAAAGGCCAGAGACTGCCTAAGCAGCCAGCTCCTGGGCAGATGGAGAAAGAGCAGAGAGCTGAAAGACAGACCCTCCCCACTCACCCACCAGACTCAATCCGTCCCTACACACCACACCCCCTCTTCTTTGGGGTCAGGCAGCAAACTGGATGGAAGATGGACCTTCCACCTTCCAGTCTTAAACCCCTTTCCCCAGCACACAGGAACGGGCTGGAACATCTCCCCTGCCTCTTCCGTTCACCCCTGGCATTGGAGTGACCTCAGTTCTTGGCTCCAGGGCCCTAGGCACCAGATGGTACCCGCCGATGGTCTCCTTTGTCTTGCCTTCCAGATACCCCCTCTCCACCAGGCTGTCCTCCCTCCCCCTTCTGCCCTGGGGGTTAGCAGAGGGAAGGGCGGGTACCTCCCACCCCCCTTGGCACTGTCCCCAGACCACAGGACTCCAGAGGCAGCTGGCCCTGGG